TATATTTATTATTGTATTTATTTTTATATTTATTGTATTTATTATTTTATGTAATTATTATATTAAATCATTAAATGTTCAAATATTTTACATGAGTTTTGAGTAGCGTAATATGGTATTCTATGTAAAATTATCCAATTTTTCTAATTGTTTTCCAGCGAATAATGTAATCCCTAGTATAAGTCACAATAATGTGCTATAACTATCGATTATTCGACGCATATAAATTATTTCGTAAGTTACTTGAAGTTCTACAACAACAATAATAATTACGGATTGTTCGAAATACAAAAAGCGGTATTACATAAACAATTTTCTTTCTTAAAAAAATTTAACAAATAAAAATGTCATATTTTTAATATATATGTGTTACAAGATAATTTTTTAATAAAGAAGTGAATATTTTTAGATAACTATGTTACACAACCCGCAGTTAGCCAATAATATTTATTTACACATATTTTTATTGGCTGTATTAAGTAGTTGTTATAAATAAGGTGCGCGACAAATAGATCATACATAATATAATATAAAAAATTTATAAATTACAGGCTAGGAAATAAGATTAGAAATTACCAAATTAAGTTGAAATATGAAAGTTGATCTAAAAATCCTAATCGTGTCAAGTTGCCAAAATTAGACTAGTTTATGTTTATTTATTATAATGACCAACTGAATTCGGTCAATCAAAAAAAAAAAACTGAGCCTGAACTGAGTAAATTTCCAAAATAAAAATAAACAAAATCTTCGCATATATAATTAGTGTACATTATCACTAAAATTATAAATTTGTCAAAAATCAAATTTTTAACAAAAACTTTTCTCTGTAATTAATAATATTATCAGCAAACCGCTGCCTCACAAATGCCCATTATTACTTCTGGTCAAACTGGCATTATGATTAATAAGAATGAACAAAGGGTAAGCATAAAAAATAAGAATTATTTACATAAAAAAAACGTAATAAATAATATTTTAAAAGAATAAATAACTTACATAACTTTGGAAGCAACAACTTTTGGTGATTGTAGAATTTGTGGATAACAAATCACGCGCGATTGACAATTAGTATAAATAGGAAAAGTCATTATTAAAAAATGAATCGCATATAAGTAATTTGCGATGGGATTTAGTGCATTAATTAGCTTTGTTAATAAATTAGGTTGACCAAGAAGGAGATAAAAGCATTACTAATGATAATGCAAGCTATTTTGGCTGTCCTGATAAGAAATGCCAGTTAAAAGAAATATATATATGGATCGCCAACACTTATCCATTCTATAAGATAGAAAATGAAGGTTGGAAGGTATGTATAATAAAATTAACAAAACTTCCCAATGTTATTGAATTGCACTAATAATATATTATTAATAATAATATTAATAATATGTTTATAGAATGCCATTCGACATAACCTAACCCTATGCCCTGCTTTTCACCGTTGTGAACGGGATGACGGAAAGAGAAGAAAGAAATCCTGGGCAATTCCTAATGAATATCAGGAATGTTTCATCAATGGAGTCTATATTAACTATAAAGCGAGTGAAATTAAGGTACGTGAAGAAAGTGCTGCCTTTGGGTCTGGGACAATTAACTCTTCCAGTAATGGAATGGTTGAAACCCGATCAGAACTGATTTTTCTCCACGACTGTCCAAATTTATCAACATCTCCAACACAATCAATTTCTGGTTTTGGAAGCATACTTAGACCTGCACCTCGCCAATCTGGAATAGAATACTATACAATAATGAGGCACATGCAGGAAAATCCATGCCTTAATGCTACTTAAGTAAGCAGTAGTTATAAGAAAGCGAAATTTCCTTTTTTTTCTGAAAAAAAATTAAGTACTTGTTCCTCCATTTTTCTCTTTTATCGGTATTATGTTCTCTATTATAAATAAAAAAATTTCTTTTTTAGATAATATGCAGAATATACGGAATACATATCAAAGTGCAGTGCATTATTTTTTGCATTCTCGGGATAAAAAAATTTATTTAAATATATATTTCACGCATGTAATCCAAACCTATTGTACAAAATTAAACTTTAACAAAATAAGATTCGGAAATCTTACAATCAAAAACAGAAAACAGACGACCGAATTTGTTTCATTTAAATGCTTACCTAGTTTTTACTGATCTGCCAAAGAACTTTCTCGAAAAGGTGATCGTATTTATTATTACTAATTAATTGCCACGACACTTATATATGTACATTTTTATTATTAGAATTATTATTGATTTTTGTGTAATCTGATAAAACAATAAGGGGCGGACATATAAGTACGTGAATATTATATGAATTATCAACATTGATTTTTTTATAATAACAAAAATTTACATTTATGGAAAAAATAATAATTTCTGTTATGAAAGTATTGTTCATTTAGATATTTAGAATATAAAAATTTGGGATGAAGGCGAATACTCCGATACTCTGAAGCTATTTTTTTTTATAATAGAAATTTTTAAGGAATCTTAATAATAAAACATTATAAATAATCTGTACTGTTACCCTTCTAAACCTTTAACTTTGTAGAATGATTTTTGTGAATAAAACTTAAACTATTAAACTAATTTACTACTTTAGGGATCACACAGATACAACTAAAAGGGATTTAAGGTAAAGGAATTATAGTACGGTCAGTTATGAAAGAGGTGATTTAACTATTAACAGTGGTATGAGGACTTGTTAATAGGCAGTGTATCAATTATACAAATAACAACTCTTAATAAACTAGAACTGTATTGTGAAAGAGTATTTTATTGAGACTTGGAAGAAATTCCAGCCTTTATATATAATTATACTGTGTTTATAGACATTTTTGGTAATGATAAATGAGAATTATTGATTTTACAATTTATTTTTCTTTAATAATAATTTCAGCCCCAGATACTTGTAAAGAATTCTTTTGTAAATCATACTATCATGGGTCACATTTACACATGATTTTAATAATAATTCAAGCAGTTACATTGTTTGAATATTTAATAACACCATTCTTTTTACTTATAAACTTTGTTCTTATGAACTCAATGATTTCACCTATAATAGAAGTGTCACGAAATGAGTTTTTTTATTAATTATTAATTATTTTAATGTGTACGACAGAAATCAAGGATTTTTTTTTTGAATTTATAGTTATATTATACACATAAGTATAAGAAATTAAAACAGAACATAAATTTGAGCGCTACACCCCGTGACCTAATGATTTTATAATAAATAATCTGTGGGTATGTATTTCATCTTTTTCTTTGAACAAATAATTAAGTAAACTAGTAAGTGACCCGCCGCTTTGCTGACGGATTATACAAAAATTTAATATTACTAAAGTCACGTAATTTATAAAGATTATGCTATTTTTTTGACTGCTTAGCGAACATATAAAAATAAATAAGGTAACGCATTATTAGAAAGTAATCTCCGAGACAACTGAAAGCATTTTTGGATCCTTTGGGTCTTTTGGGTCCTTGACTGCTCGTATTTACTAAATTAGATGAATTTTATAGGATTAAAACTAAAACCTAAAGAAATATTATATATTTTTTTAAAGAATATATTAATATATGATCTAATGAGATTTCCAGCTGATACTTTTATTAAGCAAAAAATATCAATACGGTTTTTATAAATTTTGTAAATTGATACTATTTGCATAATTTTAGGTTTTGTAGAAATTATATTAAACACTTGAATTAAGAAGACTCAATCTCAAATTTCTTTTGATAAAATTTCAATTGATATGGTAAAAATTGATAAACTCGAGAAAAAAATTACATTTAACTGGAGGGAAAATTAACCGGTGGGCAGAATTAAGTTAATGTTGGTAGGGTTGGGGTTAGGGGATTATGTAATTCTGCCTACGGTGAAATTTCCCCTCGGTGAAAATCACTAAACTCATAATTATGGATATTTTCGGTAGTATTATAAAAATAAAAATCTAACAAATTTTCATATATCTAAAATATCTAAATGAACAACTTCAACACGCTACATACAGTACATCCACCTCCCGAAATTGTAGTATTGCACTTTTAATTCTAGGAAGCAACCATAACAGCTGCCATGCCATATAATATTGACTAAAAACTTATTAAAGTGGTAAATTTACATTCTAAATTTTGTGAATGATTCTTATTACTTTTACACTTTTATAAAGAAAACACATTTTACATTAATTCAATTCATCGTGAATTTTATAAATATCCAATCTACTAATGAAATTCAACACTTTAACAATTTGATATATTTTCTTTTGATTGCCATGCTATTTTTGACAACGATTGTAAATGGCTTCCCTTTTTTGTATTATCGGGGTTTATGTTATTATTGGGTTTTTTTGAGTTTTATGTTATTATTGGGTTTCACTGGGTGATGATATTATTATAGTTATTATAGTTTAGAAATTTCTTGAAGGAGATTATCTGGTCTGGTGGGAAATTTGGAATTTATTTTTAGCATTCATATATATACATTATCACATATATCTCTCTTGTATATAAGATGGTTATCATTATATATATATTCATTTCTTTTTTTTTTACCATTAGCAAATTTGATCAAAATAATGAGGATTATTTTTCAAATATAAGAAAGTTAAAAAATATATTTTGTAAAAAAAAATGAAGAAATTATATTTTTTGTAAATAATTTACCATCATAAATTGCGTGTGTGTGTGTGCTTCTTAAAAAGATCAAATAAAAAACAAAAGAAACGTGTCAAAAAATTATTATTTTAAATATTTAAACGTACTAATATGAAAAAGTCTCACTTTAATAGTAA